ATTTTTTTCTAAAATTATTAAACCTCTTTAAACACACACATGCACACTCACACACACACACACATACATATATGTATAAAATGCATTTGCTGCACCATAAAAAATTTAAATGAGCTATTTTAGTGAAATTAAAAAGTTTATTAAAAAGGAAAAAAACTGTTAAAATGTTACAGCTTCTAAAAACTCATGTTCTCACACTTTCAAACATAAATTTCCAACTAATTAGGCCAAATAGTTGTAAAAATGTTGTTTTTAATAATGTTTTATTATGCTCCTCTCTGATTCGAAGAGGTACATGCATCGCTATTAGAAAATCACGAGTCAAGTGAAATGTTCCTTTCCATCCCGACTGTTTCAACATGCAAATTATCATTTGCCTGTGAACCAACAACATCCGAGAAATGACTTGAAAAATTGATGACCTCGGTACAAGCATTATGTCTGAAACACCTCATTAGCTGCTTTCCTCTTGCTAGAGTCTAGACTGTATTTGGGTTATGGAAACCAGACTCAGTTGCGGGGGTGGTTTTTTTTCTATAAAAGGCCCAAATAGCTGTAATTATCTGGAAGAGTCATTAGCTTGGTGTTTATCTGGGTAAAAGCGATGCTTTCATAAATATCCGCAATATATGAGTGATATTTGTCCTTCTCTCTGTTTGTGCCACAGGCTTCGTTTCCTGTTTCACTCAACAGAGATAGAAATCAAACATGGAAAGTTCAAACTGTTTGCAGCGGCCCTTTTTCCTTTTGCAGGGCCGTCACTGTTATTAATGCCCTCCGATGTAAATGACTGATAGTCTGGAGTTGCGCTGCCCCTGAAGTACGCTGCAACGGGGTATCAGTCACTTAATTCTTCTGCTATGCCACGCTTTTAAGATGGGAGATAAGCCAAGAGCGGCCAATTTCCTTCTGAGATGGGCACGCTTTATTGATTTAGTGGACCACGCTAATGTTTTTAGCCTTCTGGGTGTCCATCTGTGAGCATTTTTCCAGTGTCATCACCACTCTGTTTAAGTAGCTCCAGTGGCTTCTTCGGGCAAAGGGGAGATAATGCAGGCTATTTATCATGCAGGAATTCAATTTTGAGCCCACCATTCTCCTCATAAAAGAGTTACCAATCCATATATCAACCATTTAGTTGTCTGTTTTCATGAGCGGGAAATCATTTGTATGCATTTTATTTATTTATCACACAGGTCGGATGGCCGACTGGGAATGGGGCGAGGAGAAAGATAGTCAAAGCGAACAATTAACTAAAATGTCAGAGAGAGAAAGAGGAAGGAAAGTGGATTGCTGGTCTGTAGCCTTTGACTTTATCTATCTACCTCAATATGAATTTGTCTGCTTGAAACATGGTTATTTGGACAGAAATTTAAGTTGAATCGTAATAAGTAGGGCTGGGTAAAAAATATCGATATCTCGATATTAATCGATTCTCATTTTTACGGAACGATATCGATTCTTAAATCCCAAGAATCGATTAGTCTAGCCTGTTTTCAGTTAATGGACGGAACGTTGAAGCGCACCTCCCATCCAATAAGTTCAAATTCTGTCCATTGTATTGCAGTATTTAAACAATAAATGCAGTTTTGGCACGGTTTAATGTGGAGTGACAGATCGCTGTAGCGCCTCTGTTCAACAGACGTGAACTAATCATCTCCTCCACATTAATACCAGTTTCAGCACAAAATAAACATGACTAAACATCCTAAGTTAAGTTAAAAGAAAGAGTACAACTTTACAATCCGTATCCCGTCTCATGTAATCGCTCAATCAGTGTTTCAGCCGCGCAAAGACGTCAATAATGACTTGTAAACAATGTGTCATGTAACGTCACATTTAGAAAAAACATATTTGGTGACCATAAACTCATTAGTCAGATAGAAAAATAAACTGTAGAGAGGGGCATTTTGCTAAAAATATGCACCATATAACATATTATAATTGTTACTGTTCTTCAATGTTTAATTTATGTTTGAATAAATCCATACATTTTTTTATGACAGACACCATTTAAATGTTTATTTTTTAAAAAGAAATAACGAATTAAAGTAGAAATATTATTATGTAATTGTAACGTTATTATTTAAAAAACTTCATTAGGTGTAATTTTAGCAGTTGTATAGCCTACAAACCAGTCAATTTTAACCTTCAATATTATAGTAATGTAGTACCAACTGACTCTCATGTATATTTTACAGCATTAGTTGAGAGATTTTTTTTCCCTTGAAAATTTGGCAAGTACTGTACCTGATATATGTCCAAAATAATCGATATCGAATTGAATCGGTAATCGAATCGAAAGCTTGTGAATGAGAATCGAATCGTGAAATTTGTGTCAAAACCCAGCCCTATAAATATGTACATTGTACAGAAGGTTAGAGTCAATGCTACAGGAGACCAGATCATAGCATTTAAAAAAAACATCAATCTTCGTTTGAGAGACAGGTTTTGGTTATTTGTGTTAGGCTGTATTTGATATGGAAGGTTCATTTAGCCCATCAAGGGGTGGAGCATTTGAACACCTGAATCTATATTTGATGCGCTGCATCCATTGATTTATGATCACCAGAGCAGAAAACCCCCCAATCCAGCAGTTATGTCTCCTCCTGAAACACGCTGGATTCAGGTGTTCGAATGCTCCACTCTCATTGACAGGTCGAGTGGGTGAGAGGAGTTCATGCATTCACTGCAAATACATGCCAATGCGGTCAAACACTCACATATCACATCCTGTAACCTTCTCATTCCACTGGCCCAGCTTCTCTGACATCGCCACATAGCTAAAAAACACAGATGTGACTATGTGCTGCCTAGAGCAGAGCAGAACAGCAGATCACTAAAGCAAAATATGGTGTTACTGATAACTGTCTCTGATTGACTACAAACCAATAACTCCATGGATTGAAGTACTGACAGACTGAAATATTGGCCAAGCAAATTATTCTGCTATATTTGGCCATTTTGAGTTGCCAGTGGCTAATTTTAATATATTTCAGTAGATACTGTGCAAAATAAGTGCTCACATTTGTGTATAAATTTTATGGACATCTTATTTACTGTATGGATACTGTTCACATTTTTTTTTCATATTTAAAAAAAATTGTAATGTACATTTATAACATTACACACTGTGTGTTGGCATTAAATCACACACACACAAACAAACTATTTAATACTGTTGCAAGGGAGTTTATAATACAATGGCTGAGGTAGTGATAGTAAATTTGATATCTTTCTCTCTTCTGGCTGCCATAATCCTGTAAATGCTCCATATTTTTCCCTTTGTTGGAAATAGGTTATCTTGGATTTTTTTTATTTTGCTATTGGAGCAAAAATGATATTTGCTGTAGACTCCTGTTTGCCTATAAGTTTACCCATCTATGAATTCCACTTCTGTAAACTCCAGAAATGTTAAAAGGGTCCATTATTGGCCACCCTCTAAAATACTGTTATTGGCATTTGCTAAAAACAAAAACTAAATAAATAAATAAAATAAAAACCAGTTTAAAGCTTGCAGGCAGATTTGATCTTTGGTTTAACATATATTTGGGCAAACATTTTTATATTGGTTTGAGGCAACTCTGAAAACATGAGAACATTATGCTATCATAGTAAATGTAAAAACCAGGGCTGGATCCTACAAAAAAACAGGCACTTTATCCTAAACTACTGACAGGGTGATTACACTATAACAAAAAAATGAAAACACACGTTTTGGTAGGTTAACATTAGACTACCAAAATAGTAGTCAACTTCACATCAAGCCAGTCTTGGCCCATGCAAACTCAGGCTTTTAAGGGCCTAAGGTACTGACCAGGACCATCTCAGTTAAGTCCTGTAAAATACTACACACACTCATAAAACCACCAAAGTTTTTCCACCTATAGGATCAAAAACAGCAAACATCTGTTGTTTGTATAAAATCTTGAGAGTCACACTCAAAACAATGGCCATGAGCTCCAGCTTGGAACACAATAAATGGTGGTGATTCATGTCTGAGTCGACTACAATCCTCCCACAGAGCCCTTTGAAACCGGACTGCCATTTTTCAACTGATAAAACAATTGCACTGAAGGACTTTCAGCTGACGGCATAGATGCCCGTCTATAATGTACACAGAAAACAGTGGTCATCTCCGCTGCCTGAACATGCACTCAAGAGCTTTTTGTAATGCTTTCATTTGGTAACGTACAATCCTGCAAAAAATGCAATTGGACACCTGCGACTCTTTATTTTTAGGCAGATTTCCAGCAGCATAAAAAGAGAGGAATGTGTGTGAGCTGGAGAAGAGCACATTGAAGCTGGATTAGTTTGAAAGGCTTCAGATCTCCCATGAATTCCTCCACTGATGGAACCAGCTACCAGCTTGCATCTGCCATCTTGCAGAGTCGTTACCCATTTGCCACTTCAACAAACCCTTTCTAAATTTTGTCCAGTATTATGTCAAATCACTGTCATTCCTGCAGGGTCTGTGAAAGAGATTTAGGGTTCGACTTTGCATATGGCAACCCAGAAGACAGTACATGTTACCTCCTGGGTTTGAGTAAGCAGGACATGTAAAGGAAGGCATCCTTACGCGTTTGAGGTCTGGACGTCCTGCCAGCTTTTGGTGATGTTCTGTTTGAACTCGGTCAGGGGGCTCAGGCCCAGTTTACGTTTCAGCTCCGATGCATGGTGCTCTTTAGCTGACAGCACCTGCCTCAAGGTGTGGATCTCCTCCTCAACCTAATAGGAGGATGTCACACTTTGTTTTAAAGAAGTAAACAATAACTGAATAACATGAATATATGAGTTACTTCGATTTATAATGAATCACTCTGAATTAACATGTTAAATTAACAGCCCTAATCTGAAGACATATAGGAGAAGATGAGCACATTCTCAAACCCCTGGTCATGCAGTGGCTGTAGGTGTTTACCTTGGTGAGCTCCAGTCTCAGTTCCTCGGCCTCCTCCTCTGTCAGACCCGGAGGGAGAGTCCCTGGACTCACAGCAGCCGCCCCCCTCTCTTCAGGCATGTCTGAGAGAGAGTCAGAGCCCAGGCCTTTATGTGGAGAGTTCAGACTGATGTCTGTCAGATTGAAAGAGAATGATATATTAAAGATGAAGTGCATAATTTCTGTAACACTAAACAGAATTGTAAAAAATAAATGTGATCAGAGAAGTTTATTTTCTTGAAATCGCTTTGGACCACAAAAAAAAAAAAATCGATTCGATTTGTTCCACCCAAACTTAACTTTTCCATAGTAAATGCATCACCACAGAAAGAAAATGCCCTTGTTACAATATTTAATTATGTTATTTATCCTGTCACCATGAACTTATGATCACTCTTCACACAAGCATTTTATCTAACTCGCATTCAGAGGTAAAAGCATAAACAGCAGAAAACGAGGCTGAATCCAGCTTCTCATCCTATTTATTGACGCCATCCATTGCAACTTAAAAAACATGACGCTTCCACGTAGCTTCTTATTCACACTCAACTTAAAGACTGTGTGGATTTTCTGGGGATTTTTTCACGTTTTTCCCATGTTGCTTGTGTTGCTGTTTTCAAAATAAAATAATAAATTATTTTTAAATGCAAATAACACTGAATTAGCAGCGAAATTGGACCATGTAAAGGCACATACAATATGATTACAGTATTATTTATTACTGAACGTGTTGTAGCGTCTCGACCAATCTGACACACTAATTTTTATTTGATTTAACTAATCAATTATTCATTAGATTAACAAATCGTCACAGTCCCCTCACTCAATAAACTGGATGCCAGGATTTCTGCAGAACACCAGGCCCCCTGGTCACCATGACAACTAATCATGATATCACTGGTTTTATGACCCCCCCCAGGAATGTGAGTAGAATAACCCACTCATTGTCCCCATAGGAAAGGCAGAGTAGAAATGGACTTTTCTACTAATTAATTCATAGGAAAACCTTTCTTTGAATGAACACACATCATCCTTCAGGTCATTGGGTATATTATTGTCATCGTGTATTTGGTCTTTGAAATTGTATACTGTTATGCAGACTTATAATCGAAACACCCTCCTGTCAGCTTACACATATATATCTCTACCATGTTTAGTATCTATGAATTCGCCTTCCGATGATCGAAACGAGCGTGTATATTATATGTTGGTACATAGGCAATATATTAGTGTCCTGAGAATCTTTAGTAATTTCGATTCAAGTTCCATTTGCAAATTACCATACTCTCACACAAAGAGTCATAAAAACTCCCCAGTATCTCAAAACTCCCACTTGGGATACCGGCCTTTCTCATTGGACAAGCCCATCTTGAGAGGCGGGGATCTTCTCCGACCTTAAAGGCCCACACCAGGGACCCTCCCCAGTCGGTGGTTCTGTTAGGTTCTGAGAAGATGTGAGCTACAATGCTCCAGGACATCCTTAAGTTCCATTGCAACTTAAAAAACATGACGCTTCCACGTAGCTTCTTATTCACACTCAACTTAAAGACTGTGTGGATTTTCTGGGGATTTTTTCACGTTTTTCCCATGTTGCTTGTGTTGCTGTTTTCAAAATAAAATAATAAATTATTTTTAAATGCAAATAACACTGAATTAGCAGCGAAATTGGACCATGTAAAGGCATATACAATATGATTACAGTATTATTTATTACTGAACGTGTCATCAGCTCAACTTAGGGACCATGTGGTTACTCTTATTCATGCTTTTTTAGGCACCCTTTACTATTGTGTCTGTTTTAGGAAAAGAATAATAAACTATTCTGAAATGTAAATAACACCAAGATATCAGTGAAAATGACTAAGAATATTAAACATAATTCTTTAATTGTTGCATATGTCGTCTTTTGAGTAATGAATCAACTGCATTAATGAATCATCAACTGAATTAAAAATAATAATAATTCAAACAACTGTTACAAATGTCAATATCGCGAGGTAACTAGAGTTTATGCCAGCTCCAGCTTGGATCCTCTTATGAAGACTTCACATGACCCAACACCTTTGAATAGATGACACCTACCCCTCCAAGGACTCCAGAACATCAACTCTGGATGATTATACAAAATGATCAAGTTGTCATTGCTTTAAAATGCACATTCATTTTGCTTAAATGCATATATGATATTTGTAAATACTGTAATTTGTAGCATCTTCCAACTGTACTTTCCGATATCATCTCATAAAAGACTATT